CCTCTTCCTAGTTGGAGTTGATTGTCTTTTGAAGTGTTCTTTACCCCTGAATTCTGATACCCCATTTCTCCTACTCTTCTTGGTCTCAGGGGTTCTTTTGTTTTTCTTTTGGGGATTGTTTCTATTTGCCCTTCCTTTGAATGTTCTACCTGGCCTTCCGTTTTCAGTACGCATCAGAAGTGAACACATTATTTTCACGCTTTAGAGGGAGGCCACATGCAGCAAGAATAGGAGCGTTTAAAAATTCAAGATAGAAAACTGATGTATTGAATCCCAAAGGAAATATACAGCATTATGGCCCAGATTACATTCCTTAGAGAATGAAGAGAATATTGCTATTGCTTTCTTAGACCCTGTGATGCTAGCTGATGAGAAGTAGAAACGTGGAAGTTCATTTCTAAACTTTCGCCTTGAATTTCAATGGAAGTAAACCTTGAGTAAAACTCAAGGTTTACTTCCACTGAAGTAACGAGTCACGAGTTACTCAACCGCTTTCAATGTCCTTTCAAAGCAATCTTATCCACTCCCACAGGTGGACCATTATTATCCACACAGGTAAAAGAAAGCCACACTTCCCAAGCAATCTCAGCACCTTGGACAGGGCCTTGCAAGTACCAGGCAGCTGACCGCCGCCCCCCCCAACCGATTTCTCCCTTAAATATGATTTATTGGAGCCCCTGCTGTGCTCCTGGTCTGCAGCATTCTAGAAGCAAATGTCTTCTGCATGAACCCAACCAGAGCACTTTGGCCCAGGCAAATGGGACCTACTAAGTGAGAGGTTATCCACTGCACACTACATTTCAGGGTCTCACAATGGTCCTAGAAAGAGTCCATGTTTAAATGGACAATCCATTAGACTCATGCCCCAAAAGCCAAACCCTGGTTAGAATTATGCCATGGGTTTGAGGGGCTTTGACCAACATCCAAGTCTCCTCATTTGCTTATGTTACCTGAGGTTCTTGCCACTGTCCTGATCTGCTAAATGAGACCTTCCAATTTATTCTCCATTCCTCAGGATGGATTTGATGTGTGGCCATTGATACTGCGTGCCACGTGCTCGACTATACGCCAGGCACGGAAAGGAGGAATTTGTGCCGTACCATAACCCCCAACTTGTCTTGCATGAACCCATCTGTTATTTTTCCTTCCGGTTGGCTGTGTGTTCCATCCCTGCACCCAGAGAAGGTGGCACTATCCAGCCCCACAGAAGGAAAAGCAGGGAGAAACTGAGGATCAGCGTATCTGACATAGGTGCTAGCAGGTACTGAGCATACTGAGATATCACAGATACTGAGCAACTGAAAACTCACTCCTGAAGACTTCTCCGTGCCACCAGCAAGGTTGGTGCTTTTCCAGTAAAGAAGAAAGGCTCACGGTTTTTGTTGGAAAGAAAAGAATCCCACATCAGCCATTGGATCCCAACCCTTGGAAGTGGCAGGAACTTTTTTTTTTTTTTAATTGAAAGGTTTGATCTGAAGCTAGAGATTTTACATCAGCATTCACTCATTGTTCTTGAGCTGCGTCTCTCTTTGTAGGATACAGAATTTGGTCCCTGAATCCTGAGCAAGTGCTGATTTATGATGCCTTCCCAGGGCTTTATTAATAGCACGGGGCTCTAAGTAAATGCTGAGTGCATGCAAGTTCCACCTGACAGACTGGAAGTGTCATCTGGATCGGTACAAGACACAGAGAAGAAACCAGTGACAGCAACCACCTCCATCCCTCCACCTGCTCCCTCTGCCCCGTTCCCATTCACATATCTCAAGTAAATATCACTCCATTTCCAGGAGAAGAAAAACAGCTAGGATGGCACGCCCCCAAGATACTCGGTGCACATTTGAACACACTGTGATTTTGCCCGTTTGTTCCTCTCCAAATCTCTACGGCTTCAGAATTACTTGGGATTGAAAATCGCACTTTGTGACGGTGCCCCTACCGCCCCCAGGATTCGACAGTGGGGCTATCCTGCTGAAATGATATGGTGGGCTGTGTCCGCTGGCCCTGTATGTCCGTCCATCCCCTCTCCAAACTCTCAAGCAGCTTATCTGCATCGTTGCTGGGACACTTATTCATCACTTTCTGCACTGTGTTATTTTAAGATCTCCCGGAAGAATCTTCAATGCCTCTGTGGCTCCTGCCTTCCCTTAGGTCAAGGGACTTGTCATGATTACACTCCCCCTCCAAAAAAGAAAAAAAAATTGGGCACACAGTATTCAACAAATGTGAGTAATACAGAAATGAGCTCTATCCCTCTGACTGATTGTTGGCCATCCAGCCCTTATGAGGAGGCCTTTCTTGTTCCAGGGAGAGCGGTGGAACCAGGTGCAACAGCCTTCACGCTCTAGGGGAACACCTGCATTCGGGTTCCTGCTCATCACTTGCATTAATTCTATAAGTAATACAGCTGAAGCCAGCAGGTGTATCAGCCTTCAGCATCCCTCGCCTGCCTTACCTGCAGAATGGAGACAAGGAGCATACCACCTGCTGCAACGATGGCCCACCGCACAAAGGAGGGAATGCATGCAGACTCCAGGGCTGGGTGTGGGGCACTCCCTGAGCCCTCAGTCACTGAGATTATGAAAGAAGGCTAACCACCCCGCGGGTTACATAGAGGGATTCTAGATCCAGGATGTGAGCCACCCACGCGGTGTCTCGGCAGGACCCCTTCTGTGGTCCTCACTTCCAAGCTACCTGCTCACTTCCATCAGTGACTATAACCATGCAAGACAGTGCCATCACACAGCTAGGACTGAGGCAATAAACATGAGGACGTGGCATGGGAATGGCCCTGGAGCACAATTAAGTAATAAAGGAGCTTCTTGTGACTATGCCTTTCTAGGTGCAGGGAATCCTGCAGTGGAGAAAGTTAGGCTCCATATAATTAGGCAGCATCCAACAATTTTGAAAGAAAATGCTCCGAATGGCTGAGACGTGCCCTCTACTGCTCTCCACTCCTCTCTCAGGGGCCTCTCCTGCAGGAAGCATCATTTTTAAGCAGATATCCCCATTTTACTTTATTATGTAATTATTGAGAACACTGCAGTCCCCTCAGCCTCGTAAGGAAAGGCTTTTCTTGGAAAGAAGGGATGTTCCTCAAAACACTCAGATGTACTGGATGGGTAAAACAGAAGAAACATCCCGAGAAATTAATGTCATGGCTTAAGGGGACGATTTCATTTTTTGGCAAAAAGAAAAGCACAGAATCATCTACAAATGGGACATCAGGTTCTAACGCAGATCTCAAGGACTGAAAAACACTCTCTGTTTCGTTCTAGAGGGGACCCGGAGTAGGAAAACACTGAAAGTCAGGCCTGCTGAGTAGTCAGGGCACGCATGTGTGGCATGATAATGAAATAAAAATTAATCAGTCTGCTTGATGATACCAGCACAAGCTCACGTGCTAGCCCACGGAAGACCTGGAGGCGTCTAAGAAACCTGTTACCTAAAATACAACGCTCATCAAGGAGATGAAATATTCTACTGACTCACACCGTGAAGGTGTGGAAAATGTACCGGGGTTCACATGCAACGTTTAAAGAAGCAAGAAGGGAAAGAGGCAGGCGCATCCTGGTGTACGGGAGAGCCCTACTACATGCATCTGTTCTGTAAACCTCGCGAAGGGGCATGTTGTGTCACAGGGACTCCCTTTCTGTTCTTCTGCAGAATCACAGACCCTCGGAGAAGAAAGACCCCGAGGACTTGCCTCGTCTGAATTCTTCATGGAAAGATGACAGACCTGAAGCCTAGAAACTTAAGACATCTCTCCAATTCACAGACCCTGGAGATGGAGCGCCAGAAGCTAGCATAAGCGTCATGCCCTCCTGTTTCTTAAGATGGTGCTGCTTCCAAGATTCAGCAAAATGCAACAAACCGAAACTAGTTCTTGTCATCAGCAGAGTAGGCAAAGAGCATCCCAATTTGCAGCTTAAAAACCAACCAACCAACCAACAACAACAACAACAACAAAAAAAGTGCTCCTTGGCAATGATCTGGTTATTTCCAAAACATCTAGATGAAAGAGTTAAAAAAAACTGTCAATTTGGTGCACAAAGAAAAAGAGGAAGAATGAGAGAACGGAAAAAAAAGAGGAAAAGAAAAGAAACAGCTGAAAATCCTAAGCAACCTGTGGACTGGTGACATTTGGACAATGGTGTGCCCTTTTGTCCCCAGGGACTGAGCAACGTCCACACAAGAGACGTGTCACCGGCAAAGACAGGCGCTGAGGTATGACTCCAGAGCCCCCTGGGTGTTGCCCTGTTTTGCTTCCCCTGCACGCTACAGAACAGACCCGACATCGCTCGGCTCTGCCACAGAAAAGCAAAGACAGCAGGGTCCTGATGATCTCATGCAGATGGAGAGGACACATTTTTTTTTTTTTTTAATAAGAAGCCTTCCCAGCACCTCTGGAAAAACAATGGCACGTTTTTCAGGAAGAGAGCAATTTAACTAGGAAGGAGGAGATAGGACACAAAGAATCAGACAATTTTGGCGTCCTGACAGAGGCGGCCACAGAGCACCAGCCCTAGAAGAGGCAAACAATGGGTTCCAGCGCCAAACAGAAGGGCATCGCCAGGAGACCCGCAGCGGCGTGCCACGGCTGTGCACGCCCGTGGTCTTCTGAATCCCCAAACCTGCCACTTAGCTAACAACGCTGCGGAAGACACAGCATTGCGCACATTCCATTGTTAACAGGGCCTGCGAGGAGAAAGACTAACAGTGCGTCGGCTCCTTTTCTCCATTAATCTGTGCTCATCGCCCCCAGACCCAGTCTTCCCCTGGCGAGGAGCCCCTGCTACCTCAACCATGCACTAGGGGCTGAAGACGCTGTTTATATTCCATTTATCTTTCTGACTTAGTGTTTCTTTACCTTTTTCAAAAACACAGAAACCCACCTGCTGTCTATAAAGGCAGCCCAGAGGTGGACATTCACAGGACATGAGGGAGAAGGAAGAAGACTCGGGCCCACTGTGAGCACACACGGAAGAGAAAGACACACATACCAACACTCCAGTCCATTTCCTCGACAGCGTCGCCGTATGCGCCGTGTTTGCTTTTGCCGGAGAAGTCCTTGGAAGAGAAGAGGGCCGTGTGCACGTGGAGGTATGACAGGACCAGCAGGAATGGCGTCTCAGCGTTCCTGCCAGAAGAGAGAATTTCAGAGCACTATGAGCCTGTGCACCTCTGTTCCCACCACCATGAAACTAGTATGACGTGATGCCATCCGAAAAGTCAGAAAGCACCACCAGGTGATGTCTAATACTGGAGACATCACTTTTATTTGGAGAAACGGAAGTGTCCACAGCGTACCTATGAGGAGAAGACTCGTGGTCACCTTGTCCAGGTCAGCAGACTCAAGTGCTACGTTCTCAACACATTCCCCGAGGACACAACTCTGGAAGGATGGTCGTGGGAATGGCCTGCTTTGTCCTCGAATTGTATCCTTCCTTCTCTATACGGTGATTAGTAGGAAGTCATGGGCCTTCAAACGCGTATTCTCTTTGGAATATGTACACACACACACACACACACACACACAAGCTATTGCCTAGTAAACACCCATTTCTTGACTTCTTACAGCAACACCTATCTACCCACCTAATGCCAACTCAACTGTTCCGCCATATTGCCCACGTTCTACAACCGAGCAAGTCTCCTAGAATAAATGCTCAACTCTCAACAGTGACGTTTTGGAAGTTACACGGAACATTCTTTGAACTAGCCCCGATCTATAAAGAGTCTCAAGTTATTGCAAAAGCCTTTCTTAAGTCAGAGTGTATCAAAACATCCTGTGTTGTAATGGGTGAGAACACACAGCTGGGGGAGAGCTGTAAGTCACTGTCAACGGGTGGGCCTTGTGACAACAGTCATGAGCCTGGTGAGTGTCGGAAGTTCTGGGGGTTTTTGCCCAGGTCTGCTGAGAGGGGTCAACAACTTACATCCCCTCCTCTTTGCACTGTGCCAATTTCTGAGAAATGCACTTAGTTGATGCACTTTGGTTTTACATAACCGGTTCAAATTTCACATTTGTCCAGGAAAGCGTCAGAAATGCCTTTCCGTCTAAACAGGACCATCGCCTAAGTGCCCTTTTGAAGGCTGCTGGGGCACAAATGGAGTGAATAACGAATAGATGGGTGGCCCAATGCCATTTCTACTAGAGCATCTGGTGCACTACCCATGAATCCCTTACATGCTTTCCTTGTCCCACCAGACCATGAGCTGGGGCATGTCACAGACATCTCGGGGCGGCAGGGCCCAGCACAGTGACTGCCAAGGAGTATAAGTTCAGTAAACTCTGTTAGTCGATGAAACCCTGCATCAGCTCTCCCAGCTTCCGCGGGTCTACCCAGGACTCCCGAGCACTGCAGAGATGCATCAGTGCAATGTACATACACACAAATACATCTATATATCAGTATATATGTGTACATGTATACACCTACACGTGTTATTAGTATGGGTGTATATACATACAAACATATATTTATATATATTAGCATAGCTGCGTAAATCTGTACACATACACGCCTATATATTATTAGAATAGGGACATATATACGTGTACAAATATACACCTATTGGTATAGGCACACATGTACATAATATATAAGCTCTTAAGTCTGAAATCTCTGATCGTTTCGAAGGGACTGTCCCCTCCGTTCATCATCTTTGCCAGACAGCAAGAGCTCTCAAGAAATAATCTACTTCATGAAATCAATGATGCTTTTACATATTTATTTAGTTCCTCAAGTTGTTATTGTGAGATAATGAAAACATTTCAAAGTTTGAACTGGGTATCACAACGCTAACAAGCTAAGCTCTGATAAATGAATGCACGCTTTGCTAAATGCATTTTTAATGCATTCGTGTGCATATAGCTTGGGTTCGTCCAGGCCATATAGCACCTTACGGGGTCACAGTCCTCAGACCTGCCGTTTATCACACTTTACATGGAAGGTTGTTCCTTGCACTGATGTTCCTCTTGCCTTCTGAAACAGAACATAAGCCTAAAACATCAACTTTGAATGAGCCAGGTCCCGGCTGAATCAAGATCAAATTGAGCCAGTTACTGTGAATCATCTGTATGGCGCTTTAGAGTTGTAGGGCTTGTGCTGAATTCTGTCGCTTTCCCCTTTTACAGGAATATACAAGGAAGCGACACTGTTATTGTTTCACAACTAGCAAAGACCAAAAACAAACAAACAAACAAAAATACTCCACCAAAACCCAACCAGCAAACAAGCAAAAACCTTGCATGTAGTCTACGCCACATCTCCACATAAAGTAGAATTTGCATGAGACTCCAAACCCGAGACAGCTAGTCAACCATGACTTGTCCCCATTAATTTTCAGAAAGGAAAGAAGATGTGTTCACGTTCAGATGGACCCACTGGGGTTGTCATCCGAGCTGATGGTCTGCATGCGACGCATCTCTCTGGGCGCTTCTAAGTGCAGATGCCCTCCAAGACCCTGAGAGATGTGACGCTAAGCTGTGACAGGGCACGGACCTCTGCCCTTCAGGAGGCCAGCCGGTGTGGCCCCCAACCAAGTCATGCTGGGGGAGGTTTACTCACACCTGGACACAAGGCAGCTGCTTCTCAAGAAGCAGACGATGGCTCTAAAAACCGGCTTAGATTCCCCCAAATCAACATGCAGTGACACTGTTCCCAAATAGACAGTTACATGACCTACGGTTACAATGTCAACCTCCTCTGCTCTCCCGCTTATTTCTAGATTTAAGGAAAATAGATCGGGTGGCTTAAAAATTCAACCTTCTGAGCATGTATGTGATCAGAGCTGGTGATACGGCATGTGACTGAGAGAATGTGCTGAGAACAAAGAGGCGTCCTGTGCCCAAGAGCTTCTGAAAAAATAATAAACAGAAGATGAAGAAGAAAGAGCCCGCCATCGGCCTCCCTGGCAGGATCCCAAGTTGGAGGCATTTTGAAATGTGAGCCCCGAACGAACAAGGAGATGACCAAGTCCACCCACCAAGCAAACGAGGGAGCTTGACATAAACACCGTTCATGACCATGGTATTTGAGAGCCGTCAGGCCAGTAGGGGAGTTCAAGCCAAGCCGCGGAGCGGGACTCGTGTCCTGCAACGTACGCAGACCCTCCGCGGAAGGGGAGAAGGCCGTTCCTGCGTTCATCCTAACACTGTGCGTATTTATAGAATGCTCATTGCCATCATCTCTCTACAGAGCCGTTTTTCCTTGAGCCGGCTAGACACTGTGGGTACCAGCCAAGGTCCTGGGAGTCCAAGCACAGTGACGAGGTTTTAGATGCACCAACAATCCTGGAAAATGCAGAGACGCGTATCAGCTTGCAGAGGACTGCATGGCAAAGACTGACCATCCAGAAACACAGGTCTGGTGGATGGTGCACGGGAACATGGGCTACACACCCATAAATCCTTGGCAGCCTTGCACACACCCTGGGCTGTGACTGACAGACACAGCCTGCTCTCTGGTGAGGGAATTCTCGCTGAGCCATATCCTTCCCGATGCAGAGAGCAGGTCAGGCTCATGGAGGAGGTCTGGGTCTCCCTTTCCTACGACCTTCAAAACTCCACGACACTTCATCGAGTCGGTGGGCGGGAGATTTCCCACGAACAGCTCAAGTCCTGTGTTATTCACCAGAGCTATTCAGTAAACAATGCTTTCGGAAATTTATTGCCACTGTGTTGCAAGCTGTGGGAAAAGACTGAACTTTCTGCTGCTCCGTGCCTTTGCGCTATTTGTGAAAAATGCCGAAGGAAGCTGCTTCCCAGCAACATGTAATCATTTCAGAGGATCACAAGACTGATGTCCTATGAACGCAGACTGAAAACATACGCAAGGGGATGGTGAAGCCATTATTTTTTTTTTCCTATCTGCCATGAAGCTCTCGAACAGAACATCCCTCATCCGAGGGCTTGACTGTTATGCCACCAAGGTCCCAACTTGACTGGCGTCGGCCACCACTGTGAACACCACGCCGATGTGTACACAGTCCGGCTATTTCTTTGTTCTGTCCACGCACTGCGCATGGACTGAAAGTACATCCGGCTGACATGGTCCTAGCGACTCAAACCTAAAGGTAAACTCTGCCGAGTCCTGCCACCAGACTGCATCTGAAGCTGGCAGGGTCAGAACTTGTTCCTGGAGAGAGGCAGATTCCAGGGGTTCGTGCAGCAGGTCAGCGCCCCCGAATGCTCTCCGCAAACACACTGGTGTCCAACCTACCCCCGTGCATACTCATACATTTGGCAATGGCTGACACCTGTCCTGGCTATGCACCTGCTGAGCTAGAAGCACAAGTTCTATTACACAGAGCCCCCCAAATTACTCATTCAATAAATCAGAATATTTTTTAAACATTTTATTTATTAGCGAGCGAGCGAGCACAAGCAGGGGGAGGGGCAGGCAGAGGAGAGGGAGAAGACTCCTGGCCGAGCAGGGAGCCCGATGCGGGACTCGATTCCAGGACCCTGGGATCACAACCTGAGCTGAAGGCAGACGTTTAACTGACTGAGCCACCCAGGCGTCCCCGATCTGAATTTTTTTAAAAATACTTTATGTCATCTTTAAACCCAATGTAGGGCTCGAACGCACAACCCCAAGATCAACAGTCGCATGCTCTACCGACTGAACCAGCCAGGTGCCCCTAAATCAAAATAATCTTTAAACTAAAATCCCACCGGGGCACCTGGGTGGCTCAGTCAGTTGAGCATCTGACTGTTGGTTTCAGCTCAGGTCGCAATCTCGGGGTTGTTAGATCAAGCCCCAATATGGGCTCCGTGCTCAGCACAAAGTCTGCTTGAGATTATCTCCCTCTGTCCCTTTCCCCCAGTCACTCTCTCTCTCTCTCTCTCTCAAATAAATACATAAATCTTTTAAAACTAAACTAAAATGAAAGCCCATAGATGTGCAAAGAAGCCCAGAAAGATACCACTATCACGGCCTTTGCTACATCTCGGGTTGGGGAAGGCAGGTCGTTAGTGTGAAGGAGTGAAGACCAGCAATGATTTCAACTTCTTACTTTAGACACTTTTATTCTTCTTTAATTTTTTAGAGTCTCACATGTTACTCTTGGAGCCACAGAAAAATGGAGAGACATCTTAAAAATAAAAACAAAGAGAAGAAAAGTAAGAAAGCA